AGAGAAAAACAAGAGAAGCACTATGAAGAAGAGATGAAACAACATCTAGATTTGACAACTGAGGAACTACAATTGACAAAGGAACAGCTAAAATTTAGAGATGAAGAAGTTCAAGAACTAAAATTTGAATGCCAGAAACTACAATCAAAATGCCAGAAATCTTGCAATATCTCTTAAAATAACAATTCTTTTTAGAGAAAAATAAGAATGTGTGTGTATGCGTGCAAAAAAGGTTAAATATCCCTGTGTGCAATTATGAATAGTTTGCTTGGCTTGGCTAACCATGAAATGATATCATTTTAAGCTCTGTTTGCTAATGCATGGTTGCATGCTCATCTTTCCTTTGCTTTGGTGAGTTAATTTAATTACCAACTCATCACTTCTTTCAAGATGGAGCAATAAATTCTTGCAAAAAATTAAACTTAACTTTATACTCTATTTTATGTACCCTTAATATTTGATTTCCTTTTCAATTACTTTGTGATGAATAACTACTTCAAAGATGAATACAATAACTGTTGGATATAATAAAAATAAAGAGAGAAGAAGCATTTCTACTTTATTTTTCTTCTAGAAAACTCATAATTTTTCTTTTTGATTGCCCACTTTCAATGGAAATAGAAAAATAAATTTATATTGCATAGCATGTTTTAAGCCTGGTTTACATTCGTCATAAAACGCAACGCAATTGAATGCAAAATTGAAATTTGACCAATTTTGCGTCAAATTCAAAGCGTTTTTGTGTCAAAAGGTCAAATTGCCCACGCACTTTTGACCGTTTCGTTGAATGTAAACCTAGCTTTACACTCACCATAAAATGCAACGCAATCGAACGCAAAATTGAAATTTGACCAATTTTGCGTCAACTTCAAAGCGTTTTTGCGTCAAAAGGTCAAATCGCCCACACACTTCTGACCGTTTCGTCAAATGTAAACCTAGCCTTACTGTAATTTTTTTTAATAATAAAGAAAGTGATGTACATACTACAAATATACATATAGAAATTTTAAATTAACAGTGCATTATGTCAGTAGTAAACTGCATGCATGCAGGTTGGATACAAGAACACAGATCATTACAGTTTCCTACATTATATACCAATGACCTCATTGTGGTCAAAATATCACTAGACTATATCAACTATCACATGATAGAATAGATCTACTTGTCAAAATGGCTACTGGTGGATCATCATATGGTGGATATGGCTATAAGTTTGTTGATGGTGAGCCTAGAGATGAATTAAAATGCAGCATTTGTACACTAGTATTACGTGATCCTCATCAAGTTACCTGCTGCTCAAACAGGTTTTGCAAAAGCTGTCTAGACCAAATAAAAGGTAAAAGGTGTCCTCTATGTCGAAAACCAATCAAATGCTTCAGAGATGGTGGCATCAATCGTGAGATCATAGCTCTTAAGATTCACTGTACTAACAGTGAGAAGGGTTGTAAGTGGCAGGGAACTATTAATGAAACTGGTACATCAATTAATACTCATCTTAATAGCTGCCCCTATCAATTGGTACCTTGCACTAATGGATGTGGAGAGAAGATTAGGAGAAGTTCACTGAAGACACATCTGACAGACAACTGTGCTAAACGACTAGCCCAGTGTATGTTCTGTCTAAAAAAAGGGCCTCACCAACTGATAACAAGCAGTAGTCATCTTGATGAGTGTCCTGACCTCCCAGTTTTATGTGGCTGCAGTGAGAAGATGCCACAACGTTTAGTAGCGTCACATAAAAAGACCTGCCCTAAAGCTGTCATACCATGTGAATACCGTACTGTTGGATGTAATAAGGTACTGAGGAGAGAAGATCTTGAGAAGCACAATGAAGAATCAATTAAAGAACATCTAAAGGTAGCAGTTAAAAGAATTAATAATCTACAACAGGAGATTGATACTTTGCAGTTACTACTTCCAACCAATCAAGTCATTATGCTAAACAAATATACAAAGAAGAAAGAACGAGATGACCATTGGCACAGCCCAGGGTTTTACACATCACAAGGAGGATATAAGATGTCATTAAGTGTCTATCCTAATGGTACTGGTACTGGTGAAGGTACACACGTCTCTTGCTTTATATATCTCATGGCAGGAGAATATGATGATACATTGGAGTGGCCATTTCAAGGAAGAGTCACTATAGAACTACTGAATCAACTTGAGGATAAGAATCATAAGAAATGTACTGCATTGTTTGAATCGACAACTAAAGGCAGTCAAAGGGTGAGGGAAGGTAGAAGCACAGGTGGTGGATTGGGTCGCATACAGTTCATATCACAAGAACAGTTAGAATATAATCCAGCTACTAATTGTCAGTATCTTAAAGATGATAGTCTGTACTTCAGAGTCAGTGTAAAGGCTACATCAAAGACAAAGCCATGGCTAGTAGGAGCATCTGGGATTATACAGTCAAAATGTTTAAAAAATGACAATTTTTGATATTACTAGTAGCTAGTGAGTGAAAAATTAATTTTACTAATAGTTTTTTTGATATTTTATTGATTAAAATGTGTAAAAGTTCTATTGCTGACCTTTGAAAAAGAATACATGGAGTGACTTGCCAAATTTGGCAAATTAAGCTTGATTTACTGTATATCTGGTTATTTTCAATGGTTATAAAATACAAAATCGAAAATTTAGGTGTTGGAAAATTTCATATGCTGCTACCTATTTTAGCCCAATTTGACTTGCAATTGTTTGTAGTCTCTGCAAGAAGTTTGATGATAACATCATCATCAAACTTCTTAGTGACAGTGACTACAAAACAATTACAAGTCTGATGCCTTTGTTTGAGCCAGTAACAACTGCTACCCTTTTGGACACCATTTTGAGAAAATTTTGTACCACACATCTACATAATGGGCTTAGTCTATCCACAGAGGAGGTTCAACACAGAAAGTCCAGCTAATCAAATATTCCACTGGCATCATGTTCGCATCAGATAATGCAACAAAATTAAAAAATTGTTTTATAGAGTACAAAATTTATGCGCTGAGGTAAGTCTCTGTTATCAGTTGAAGCAGTCAGCATTATGATTATAAATTCATAATCTGACAGATGTCATAGCAACCAGTTACAGTAAACAGACACACCCTGTAATCCTTATCATTGCTGCAATGGCTACTGGTAGACATAGGTATAAGTTTGTTGATGGTGAGCCTAGGGATGAATTAAAATGCAGCATTTGTACATTCGTACTATGTGATCCTCAACAAGCTACCTGCTGTGCAAAAAGGTTTTGCAAGAGCTGTCTAGACCAAATGGAAGACAAAAGGTGTCCTTTATGTCGAGAGCCAATCAACTGCTTTAGAGATGGTGGAATCAACCGTGAGATCATGGGTCTTAAGGTTTACTGTACTAACAGTGAGGAGGGTTGTGAGTGGCAGGGAACTATTAATGAAACTAATGATACATCAATTGATACTCATCTTAATAGTTGTCCCTATCAACTGGTACCTTGTACTAATGAGTGTGGAGAGAAGATTAGGAGAAGTTCACTGGAGATACATCTGACAGATAACTGTCTTGAACGAATGGTTAACTGTCAGTATTGCAACCAAAGAGGTCAATATCAACTGATAACAAGCAGCAATCATTTTGATGAGTGTCCTGACCTCCCAATCCAATGCAGTAATGAAGGTTGCAATATGACACCACGACGACGTTCACAATCACTACACAATGAGACCTGCCCTAAAGCTATCATACCATGTGCATACAATACGGTTGGATGTAAAAAGAAAATGAAGAGAGAAGAACAAGAGAAGCACAATGAAGACTCAATAACAGCACACGTACAACTGACAAAGAAACAGCTAGGGAAGGTAAAGGAACAACTACAAGCCATCAGGTGGTGCTACTTTTATATATGTTGTGTGTGTGTCTTTGTCTTTGCCTTTGCCTTTGTCTGTGTCAGTGTCTTTATGTACAAGCAA